AAGGAACCAACCAGGAAATATCTGTTATATGAAGTAATACTCAAAATAACTCGAAACACCAGAGTGTCATTGTGGCAGTGCTGTGGTCCCTGAACATGAAGGCAGCTCTCTGCTTACCTGGCTGTATCACCCTGGTAACTAATGCTGCACCCATAACTGGGTCCAGAGCAAGTATCTGAGTTTGACTTCAAGTATTTATTTTTGTGCTTGTGGTGATCAGACCATATAACCCTATTTTCTATTTTCTCTATCACCTATTCTAATGTCTCTGATTAGGGTAGTTGGAGCTTGATCCTGAAGCAGAAAGCAAAGAAATCTGAAAACTAACATTGTGATACTTGTCAGGTCTGACTGAAATTTTAGGTTTTGTTAAGCCAGCTAACACAAAGAAAGCCTGGCTGTGTTGAACTTATTGTATCAGACAGACAGGGTGGGTGTGACCAAATCTCTTCCTCGTTGCACTTTTCCTGTTTGAAATAAACTCGACTGAGTTGCACAACAGTGAACATGCTGGTATCAAGGTTACATCATGTCAGTTTGATCTGATTTCTTTTCACAGAACAGTTTGAACTGTTTATATTTTGCAGCTTCATTGATCCAAACCAGCTTTCTTTCCTTAGGCAGCTTTATCTAGTGTGAACTCATAGTTAGCTTGTAAAGCTTTTCCAGCTGTGTGCTCTGCTAGTGTAAGCCCTGTGTGTCTGAGTGCTTTCATTTGCTCTTTCTCTGGTTTATTTAATATTCTGGGATTTTGTGTTTTTTCGTGGTTTTGTCTTTTGTATTTCTAACTCATTGGTTATCCTTTAATACTTTTGTGATTTTCCAGCCCTTAGATTTTGTCTGTGTGCCTCCCTTGTGTCTAGTGTTCCTGGTTTCTATGTTCGTGTTGTTTCCTGTTTTACTTTAGAGTGTCCCACATTCAGTGTTTTGAGGTTTTCTTCCTCTTTGTCTCGTCAGGTCTAATAAGGTTCAGCTGCATCTCCTTCCTGTTGTGAATTTCCATGGTTCCTCTCTGTGTATTTATTGTGTGTGCTTCCCATCATTGGATCTTCTGTTCATCTGTGTTCTCATGTCTCAGCTTCCTCATTCCCGACTTACAGGTTTTGCATTGTTTTTTACATTCCTTTTATAGCTTCTCCCAGTTCAGGTTTTGTTAGTGTTTCTCAGTTCCCCTTCGCTTGTTGTGTTGTAGACTTTTCGTACAGCCATAAATAAAGGCTCGCCTTCAGTTAAAACCTTCCCCTGTATCTGTGTCTGTGTTTGGGTCCTCATTCTCTCATCTCCACACGATCTGCCTTCGCAAATCGTGACAGTGTCGTTCCATTGATTGGCTTGTTTTGTTCCTGGTGTCCTTCTCTTTGTTGTGTACGCTTTATAAATAAAGTTTTATTCCTATAATGATGCTTTATGTTGTTATAAAGTGCAGATGTGGACACTGTTGTGTGTTTCAGTGAATCTCTTTAAAGCCATGCTTTGAGCTGCTTTTCATTTACCACCTTTTGTAGTTCCACTGTTTGCTCAGCAGAGGGCGTTGCTCAGCACAGATCACAGTGTTTGCTGCTGCGTTTTTCTCTGATCATGTGTGGAACTCCAGCTTTTTACATACAGCCTGTGGAAATGCTGGGAGGTTTATTATGAACAGAACTGAAGGTTTCTGTATTTTT